CTCCGACATGAGCGAGCTGGGCGGGCCCCAGGGGTCATTGCTGGTGGCCTCACGCACCTTGATCTCCGCCTCGGAGTAGTTGTGCACGATGTTCTTTACCTGGCGCCGCAGCGCTGAGGTCGTCATGGCTGGGGACTTGGAGATGGGCGCCCCCCGCCCCAGCCGGAGGTGGAGGGCCGAGGGCCACCGTCGTGAGGTCACGGTTTCCAGGGATGGGCCGCCGTGCTCTCAGCAGGGCGGCTTCGTCCTTGGGTTCCACATGGGTCTGAGGAAGAGAGGGTTTGCAACTCAGGGGCAATGGCCCACCTAGCTGACCGCTCACTCATCAACTTAAGGTCTGTCCAGGGTGTCCCTGCTGCCAGGAACAGCCTTCAACAGGCACTTTTTATTTGTCTTATTTTACTTATTCTTCAGCAGGCACTTCCAGCTTTGCACTTTCATTTATCCTCACTATCACACTACAAAGATCCTATTATTATTATCATCACTATTCACAGAGAAGGAAAATGAGGCTTAGAGAAGGATTGACTCATCCCAGGCCACAGAGCTCGTACCTGGGGATTTGGGGTAGACCTAGGCAGACACGCACCACAGTCCTTGCCCTTAGTGAGGGACACAACGATGACCCCCAGGAACGCCGACCATCCGAGCTTCTGCTGGTCTACCTCTCCCCTTTCTGCCAGGATCTAGCTTAAGCCCTATCCTTTGCACCTTCTCAGTCCTCACTTTTCTCTCTTCTCCTATTGATTGTGCAGCTTGATTCATTCAGTACCTATTTCCCGGGGCCTTCTCTGAACCAGACACGGAGGCCCGGTGCACCCAAGTCCGGGGGGAGAGGGGAGGACACAGGCAACCACAGCCCAGCGGGAAAGTTCAGGGCAGCACAGCAGCACCCAAGCCAGGAAAATCAGTGGAGAGGCCCCAGAGGCGGTGATGGCTGAGCTGAATCCAGAGATCTGAAGGCAAGGGAGAGGAGGCGTGAGCCAGCAAGGTGGGAGTGGGGGAGGGGCGGCTCAGAGGGAACACTGCAAGCTGGGCCAGGTGAGAGAGGAAGCAGCACTGGGAGAGGCTGCCTCTCAAAGAAATCCAGCCACCACCACCCCTGTCCCACACACAAGAGCGCTGAGGCCAGAGAGGGGCCACGGCCTGCCCACAGTTACGTGGCATGTAGGTGTCAGAGCTGGGACCGAGGTCCCCAGAAGACTAATCCAATACTTATGGTCAGCGTCACCAGTTTTGAAATTAATTCATCTGATTGCTTTACTCTCTCAGCCCCACCTTTACAGCCAGAAAGTAAGCTCCCTGAGGGCCAGGGTCTCGGCTTCCCCCCCTACCAAGGCTTGGGGCACATGGCAGAACTCTGATACCCCAGCTACGGGGGGGTTAGGGGCAGCCAGATGCCCTCCCCCAGCCATAGGACCAGGCCATCTGCTGAAAGTCAACACAGGCCCAAGTCAGAGAAGTGTGTCCTCCCAGAGCCCTACCAGAAACCCAGACTGGGGTCCCTCTGCCATCACCACTACTCTGGTGTGGGCTCGCACTGGCAAGGCACACACACACACACACACACACGCACACACGGCTGGACCCGCAGAGCCCCCACTTCGCCAATGAACTCCCACCGATGCCAGCACCCACAGGGAGGGCACCTCTCAGCTCCACCTTGGGACTCAGCAGGAGTCAAAAGGAGTTTGTTCTACCCCTCACCCCTCCGCCCAGTTCTGCCAGCACTCGGATCCTCTCAGGGGGCCCTCAGGCCTCATAGTTTTCTTCAGGGCCCAGGTGCCTGGGAGAGCTTTGCCCAGACTCCGGCGTCCCTTGGGAGACCCGGAGGGATGGAGAGTGCTGGCTGAAGGCACTCGCCTACCTTCTGTCTGCTGCCTTTCTGTCCAGCTGGCCTTCTGAGGGGGTGCGCTGGCCCACACTTGTTTAGCTCCTGCCCTCGCCCTCGCTAGTGACTCAGACCTGCCTTTGCCTCTCTGAGTGGTGGGCTGGCGGGTGGCAGGAGTGAAGATGAGAAACGATTGTGTCCCAAAGCCCGCCCCAAGTGCACGCAGCCCGCTCCCGAGCTGGCCACTGAAACCAGCAGAACCAGTCAGGCATCGTGACTCCCGTAGCAGCTCTACCTGGCCCTCTTGCCTGCCTGGGCAGTGGGAGGGGCTCTCGGTGTGGGCGCTGCAGCCCTGCCTGAACTTTTCTCCTGGGAGGTGGGCATGGCAAGGCCTTCTCTGCACACCTCTGCCTGAGCTCGGGGAGGGGAGGGGTCAGAAACACCTGAAGTCTGCAGGGAACAAGGTGGAGAGGAAGAGGGGGCAGGGCGAGGCTCCGGCGTGTGCGGAAGGGAGGGAGGAGGAGAGGAAGGAACGCGGGCGGGAGCGGCTGGGAGCTCTGCCAGCGGTGTTACAAGCAAAGGGTTTTATCGAACACAATATGCCCAGAAATAAAAGGGAGTGAAACAGAAACCCAGCGGCCGATAAGGCGGCGGTGGCAGCGGCAGCGGCGGCCTGGGCAGCGGGGTATGGAATTACTGCAGTGACCTTGAGCCAGGCCCTGTCAGGTGGAGGGAAGGACACTGAGAAGGCAGGGCCTAAGAGGCCAGTTCAGAGATGGGGGAGAGGGCAGGAGGGGCAGGAGAGGCAGGAGAGGCAGGAGGGCGGGGAAGGAGGAGGGAGGAATCTGCTGTGGTGGGGGGTGTTGTAGAATGGGAGAAGGGCCAACAGGGGGTGGGACCAGCTGGGAGGGACCGGTATTAGCTGTCTCCTACAAGAGCATCCCGAGAAGAACTTTACTGTGGGGAGGGGGGCTGCTCTTCCCAGGGCCCAGAGGACTGGGGGACCCATCAGAACTGAGGAGGCAGATGCTTTCTCCAGAGTGGGGGTTCAGGGAGATGGAAAGAACCCATGTGTCCAGTCACGTGGGTGAGTTTGTCCCAAGTCTGGGCGTGCCACACAGGCCGGCACCCCCTCCCATCCTCTGCTGAGGCAGATGCTGGCCTCTGTCCTCCATGGGGTCCAGCAGGGACAGTCGGGGAAGTGGCAGTGCCCTCTGGCTGTCAGCTCAAGTCAGCTCCGTGTTGGGGGCACTAGAGTAGGGCGAGAGCACGGCCTGAGTCTGAAGGTGCATCAGGGGCGGAGGAGGAGGGGCTGGCAGAGAGGAGCAGGAGTCTGTGAGGGATGCTTCCAAAGAGCCGGGCTCCAGGATGGCGAGAGCCCCCAGTCTTCCTTTCTGAGGGCAGCAGGGAGGGAAGGGCTGCAGGCAGGAGGGCCACTTGAGACAATAAACCCACTCCACCACCCTGTTCTCCTCACCCCTCTCCCTGGAACCTTGGAGGGAGACTAAGCCCCCAACCTTCCACTGGGGCACCACCACTGCCGGGAAGGGGCCGGCTTACCTCTGGTGCAGGCTCCCTTGGCCCCAGCCCCGGGACCCTGAGCAGCCTCTGCAGCGACCCTCCAACCTGCACGGCAGGGGGGCGGCACAGCTTCGGGAGCCTCCCCAGAGCCATCCACTGCAGACTCTCGTCCCGGAGACCCACCCTCGCCAAGGAGGCGTAGACCCCTTGGAAGGGCGTGGCAGGGTCCCCAAAACGGGCTGCAGCTCTGTCTCTTGTCCACTGGTCTCCTGGATGCCCAGCCGGCAGGCAGCACTCAGGAGGAAAGTTGCTCAGCTGGCCGGGCAGGTCTGCCTCAGCAGTAACAGGACACAGGAGGAAGCGCTGGGTGTGTTAACCCCTTCCTGCTGGCCAGGCAGGCGGGGCCTTCAGCGGTGGGAGGCTTGCCTGCAGGCAGCCCCCAGCTGCTGCAGATCTGGAGCCTGAGAGCACGTGCTGGTGGCCCAATCCCCCCTGCAGTGTGTTAACCCTTCCTGCCTCCTCCACAGGAAACAGGGCCAGGGGCTTCCAACACTGCCCCTATCCTTCCCCTCCCTCTCTGGGCCAGGAGGACCTTTCCCCGGGGGCTGGCCCTTCTGTAGAGTTACTGCCTCCTGTGGGCTTCCAGCTGGCCCCCTGGGCCACTCTGACGGGGGCCTCAGCCCTGACAGGACTCCAGGCCCAGCCCCTTTCCCTGCCTCTCCAGCACAAAGTGCTCTGCTCTCTCTGAACCTCCTCCCATCTCAACCTCTCTACTGAAGGCTGCCTGAGGTCACCGGAAGCCCTGAAGGCAAAACCAAGGGGATGGGAGACTGTGGCTGCTCCCTCAGCATTGACTCACACCTCCGCCGCCATCAGCACAGCAGGCAATGGGCCCACCATTAGCAACGTTGCCCTTCAGATTCTGGGAGCCTGGACCCCACTCCGCACAGGAAGTCTAGCCAGAAAACAGTTCTGGTGCAGAGTCTGAGCTAACGGCACCTTTCTCTCCACAAGCCATCACTTACCCACTGCACATTTCTCTGAGCGAGGGGGGTATGAGGTGCGGAGGCTGGTTTTAAAGCAGAAAAGTAGCTCGAGGAGGCCAGAGGGTGACAGGAGGAGGGGGATGACACAGTGGGATCCAGCCAGAATGGGAACCTCTAGCTGAGGACAAAGGGATCCAGCCCCGAGGGGCTCACAACCCCCACACCCTGGGATGGGGCCCAGCTGAAGTGGGAGGATGTCAAGGAGCCAGGTCCCACGGGTTCTAGTTTTCCTTGTCTCATACTTTGTCATACCCGGTGATGACTCTTGGAGAAGACCTGGCTCCAGGAAGCATGTCCCCAAAAGTGTGGGGCAAGGAAAGCCAGAGGCAGGAACCACGCAGGGTGACGCTATCTGTCCTATCATCTGACTCATTCCTTGTCCTGCCATCAGCTTGCTCTTGGGCTCATCACCCAACACGTGCCCTCCCTGGGTGTGTTTCCCCGCATGTTTGCCGGCTGCGGAAACTGGGACAGGGTGGGGTGCAGGAGACCTGAGGGCAGGCGGGGCACAGGAGGACCCGGCCGTGTGTAAGCTGAGTTCTTCAAGAGGCAGCGTTCAAGACACAAGGCATGAGGGAAATGGTAGGAACTTAAAGGTTCTTTATTGATTTGTTTGTTAACCAGATACCCGCGAGGCTGCTTGGGCACACGAGTCAAATGCAAAGACGAAAAGGCTCCTCAATATTCTTTATGGGGCTGAGCTCGTCGGCCAGAACCATCAGGCTGGTCACCAGGGTGTTCAGCAGCCCATGGACCTGGAAGAACAGGACAAATATCAGGCAAAGGTTTGCTCTGCAGAAAAATACCTAAGCGAGAGCACCCACCGCGCTACAACAGTGGACGTGTTCACTCCACACTGAGACAGCTAGAGAGGGGGTAAAACCAAAGTGGTGAGAAGTTCTGTAGAATTTTTGTTTTTGCAAATAGTTCCATTTTTCAAACCAGTCTAGGGAGGTAATCCTGCACTAGCCCCTAGGAGGTATGGGGACCCTGGAGCCTAGTGTAGTGACAGGGGCAATTCCAGGGAGGCCAGGGAGCAGTGCCCATTTAGTCCCCTGGGGTGGCCCCACCCTACCCTGGCCCCACGGATGCCAGCTTGCCGAGGATCGCAGATCCTCATACTGAAATGTTTCCAAGACACTTAGTGGGGCTGGACCACACAGGTCTCGGCAAGTTCATTCTCAATCTCAGAAAACCAAGGGAGAGTCCACCCTGTGGGTCCTCAGAGACTGTGAGAACTTTCTAGACCCCGCCGACCTTCAGAAATCTCAGTGATGTCACCAGTAGCAAATGGGAACTTCTGATCAAATGAGACCCAAAGCGGTACCACACAACGCAGTCCCAGGTCCCCAGCTGTCCACCCCAGAGGAAGACAAAGCCTGGCCAATGGGCGGACCTTCCCTCTGAAGCGAACAGCCATGACGACTGAGAACCCAACACAGCATCAGAATGAGTTTCTAAGGACCCACTGCTTGAAAATGCACCCTTCTGAAGTCTCCCCAGTGCTTTGAAACCCTTACACTTTCTGGAAATCCACTCCACGTGGTGTTGCCCCAAGGGGCACACCAGCCGAGACACCCTCTAGCGCAGGAAAGTGGGGTGACAGGAGAGTTTCCGTTCAGTTCCCCCTAGTCTATTGTCCGAATGGTAGCCAGAGTAGGTGATCTTCTAAACGCAGACCATGTCGCTCCTCTATTTAAAACCCTGTCTGATTTTTCATTTTGCTCAGAAAATCCCTGTGTCCTCACGCGGCCTACGGAGCCCCACGTGACTGCTCCCTTTCGGTGGCCTGTCTGCCCTCTGTCCTCATGGCCACTCCCTCTCCTTACATGAGTTGCTTCTCCTCCCTGGGGCACCCCTCCTCCCGGGTCCGCATGGCTACCGTTCACCTCCCTTCAAGTCTCTGTTCGATGCCCCCTTCTCGGTGAGGCCCACCGGCCCCACCTGGGCCTTCCTCACCCGCTGGCTCTGGTCTATTTCTCTCTCTTCCTGGGTGCTCATCATCTGACAAACCAGACGTGTTCCTTGTTCTCGAAGTCTCTTGCACACGAGGATGCCCTTCACCAGGGCAGCTCTGCTTCCATCGTGGACGCAGTCGGCACTCATCATTTGCGGAGTAAACGGGACGAGTGAGGGAGTGGAGGGAAGTGCACAGGGCAGGAGCGAGGGAGGGGAGGGCTGGGCGCTGGGCTCTGCTCTCACCTCGGTGTACAGCCTCTGGGTGTACTTCTCCATGACCAGGGGATCTATGGGTTCCTGAGAAGGGGTGGTGCTGTCAGGGGCAGGGTCTTCCAGGAAAAGCCTGTCCCCACTGGAAGGTTTCGTGGATTTCTTATCATCCTTTGCCTTCTGCTTCTTGCTGTTTAAACGGTCCTGCTTGGAGAGATGGGACATGCATAGCCTTCAGTAGCTCCTGAGGGAGGTCTAGGACTTTCTCGAGGGCAGCTCACGGGGAGAGCTGGGACATCGTGCGTGCGACCGTGACCGGCCGCAGCCCCTCTGCATCCTCCCCAGCCCCGCCCCGGCCAGGCCCTGTGCTAGAGCATGCCTCTTTCCCCAGCAGCTTAGCTCCTTTCTTATCTTCTTTGTCTTTGATTCCCAACTGCTTCTTTTCCTGGGCTGCCCCTCTCCGGTCCTCCTTCCCAACTTTCGCGGAAGACGACTTCACTTCCGTGACAGGTAATTTTCGATCTGAGGAAGGTGAGTGGGAGACAGTGTGGCCTGTGACCTAGCGAACCCCACAGGCAGGAGTCGGGAAAAGCAAAGTGCTCTCGGCCACTTCGAGAGAATTCCCACAGACTAAGAGCACAGGCCCTGGCTCAGCTGTGCGACCCTGTGGAACAGGACTGGGGGCAGGCCCGAGGGGCCTGGTTCTAGTCCCCGCTCTGCCGCTCCTCCATGTCAGGCACAGGCAAGCCTTCAACCCTTCTGGGACTCCACGGGTACACTGAGGGAACGGAACTAAGGTGACACTAGGCCACTTTTGGGCTCTAGACCTTGGCAACAGAGGAGAGGGTGGGGGGGGCCTACTCCATGGATCACACTGGAGGGCGTGACAGGCTGCGGCCGAGGGACGGCAAGGACCTCGTGCAGGCACGGCTGCACAGTGTCTGACCTAGCTCTTCCGGCGTGTCCAAATAGGTGGTCTCCTTCTCGGGCAGGCCCAGCAGCACCCTCAGCCACAGGGAATGGCTCACCAGGCTGTCAATCACATCCCGCCACAGCTGCATACTAGAAGGCAAGACACACTGGAGAAAAGGCATCGCCCTTCATTTGCCCTAAAGCCTGCAGAGGTCTGGATGCTTTCCTTTCAAGACACTGGTGCTGGGCACTGCCGTGGGGACGCCGCGCCCCGTCCGGCCAGCATCCTCGCCAGCACTCGTGCAGGTGCTTTCAGACAGACCTGGCTCCAGCTGGGGAACTGTGCCGCCAGGGGCAAGGGCAAAGGCGAGGTCAGTCTTAACTCCAGCACGAAACTGTGGCGGACCTTGCCTGAGATTTCCAGCATGAGGCTCGTGGGGATATGTTTTAAGGGCCTTGCAGAAACCTATCCCCCATTTCCCCAACTGGTGTGGCCCAGTGGGTCGGTCCCGCAAACCGAAAGGTCACTAGTTTGATCCACAGTCAGGGCAAATGCCTGGGTTGCGGGGCAGGTCCCCTGTCAATGTTTCTACAGCACATCAACATTTTTTACCCCTCTTTCTCCTTCCCTTCCTCCTTCTAAAAATAAGTAAATGAAATCTTTAAAAAAAACTCCAGCCTATCCCCCCAAGCCTATCCAAGCAAGTTCCAGGCTTGTGACAGGCACGCTGATGACTGAGAAGTAAGGCTTTTCATGGGCTACGCCCCTCTTCTCACCACCTACCCTCTGGTTTCTCTTCTGCTCCTTTGAGAAGGGGCAAGGAGACAGAAATAGGCCTAGGTCCTCACTGTGCGGGGACGGCTCTGCAGGGGGCAGTGGGCAGCTGCAGGGGCAGCTGTGGCAGATGCCAAGCATGGAGTGTTTGCAGCATCTTTTCACAATCTGAGCTCAAAGGGAGCTCAGCCCCTTGCGTCTCAGGACTGCCTGCTCAGAAGCCCTGGCCCGATGACACAAAGCAGGGGAGAGGGGGCTGGCCCTCCTGGCGGGGCACCTACCACATCTGGTACAGGAGGTCGGACTGCAGCGGCCTCTGCTCCTGGCACAGCTCCAGGGCTTCTCTGTTGAGCCCAATTAGGGTGTCTTCTCTCTGGGTCTCCTCAGGGAGCGTCATTGCTGCCTGGGGGGGTCAGAGGCACTGTGAGCAACCCTTCTGCCCAGGACACCAAGCATCTCTCTGTCCTCTAGACATGGGCGTGTTGCTGTGAGGATGGGTGTGCAGGGGGGACACGGCCACAGAGAATCTGCCTGGGGCACCTTCTGTGAGAGCTGGGGGCCTCCCTCAGAAACCCGTCCTCTCGACCCCCTTTCCCAAGGTTTGCTGGAGTCAGAGAGGGCACCCTTCCAGCACCCCAGTGGCCTAGGCAACGGAGACAAGAAGAGATGACCCGAGAGACTGTTTTCGCCGGGCCCTCAGAGGTTGTATGTCTTCGTCCACGGGGGCGAGAGGCACCGCTGGGGCTCTCCCTGGCCGCCGTGCCAGAGCTGTTCTCCCACCCTCTCCCCTTCGGGGTCAGGGAAGCACCTTTCTGAAGTCCTCCAGGCAGAGGTTCCACTCAGGCGGGGAGAGGCCCTCCAGCTCCCAGGGGCTGTCCTCCACCGGCCTCTCCTCCATGGTGCTCTTCTGCTGAAAACTCCTGGCCCCCGGGCCGCCCTTCTGGGACCTGAAAGAATCCTGGGTGTCCCTGAGGGCCATATTCTCCTGCCGGGGCAGTTGGGACTCCGAGACGGGGGTCCTAGAGTCCATGTTCACTGGGGCCTTCTCCAAATGGGCTGTCTGGGTCACAGCCCCCCGGACCCTGGGGCCGCGACGCTCCTCTTCACCCGGCCTGGCCTCCTCGGGTTTGGAGGGCAGGACCATGTACTGGTGCCACAGTCGGTGCAGGTTTTGCACCACTTGGTGCTGGTAATGCAGCTACGGCAGAGACAAGGGAAGACACGTGATGGGGAGGCCGGGCGCAGGGGACCCAGCCTCGTGTGTCTGCTGTGGGTTTCCCCATTTTCTCCAGAGCACTGGTGGAGGGGGCCGGGCAAGAGCCGGCAGGAGTGGCGGGGGCCAGAGGGCAGCCCCGCTTCCCCTTCAACCTGAGCCTCTCCAACCTCAGGCACTATTTTTGTACGTGAGCTTCCCAGGAATATGGGGTTTAAAGGAAGGAGCTTGTGAAACTGTTCTCACCAAGTGTCCACTTAGGACCTAAATTATCTTGGGCAAATAACTTAACCTCCCTGGGCCACGGTTCCCTCCGAGTACAGTGAGGATATAGAGTGCCCATCTCACAGGGCTGCGGGGAGGAGAAAGCAGTGAGTTACTACTCATGGAAGACGCTCAGAACAAGCCCTGGCATATCGGGGCTCTGCTATTCCTTCCACCCAGGGCATACACGAGGCACAGGGGCCAGTGCTCGGCCTGTACCCCAGGATTCCTGCGGTGGAACAAGTCCTCCTCCGTGAGATAGACGTCCTCGGGGGTCTGCGCACGCTCCTGGGTCAGGATTCCCTCCAGTAGCTCCCGAAGCACGCTCTGCACAATGGTGGCCGCCTCGTGGGAAGCCAGATCTTTCTGGGGAAGAAAAGGTGGTATAAGACTGGCTCAGGCTTTCACAATCCATGTGGCATCCTGGAGGGGAGGTGAGCCAGATCCCTGGGAACTTTGAGCCTCCCTGCGTCATCTGTGTGTGTGTGTGTGTGTGTGTGTGAGAGCGACACACACACACACACACACACACACACACCACTATTCCCAGACACCAAACCCCTTGGGTTGTCCCAAACATCCTTGTTCCCTAAGAGGCTGAAAAGATGGGCCAGTTCCAGGGAAGCTGCCCCCATGTAGGTCTAGGAGGCCACCGTTAGCATTTTCCTTAGATTAGGAAGAAGGGCCAGGGCTGGGGCCAGCACGGTTTGGGCCTTGCTGAGAACGTGACTTGGCCGCGCAGTCAGTATGACAGAAACAGGAGCATCTATAGAGAGATGCCAGTCCTATGCTAGTGAGTAAAGCAGACACTGCATTTGTCAAAGGGGCCTCTGATCACTACAGGTTGAGCCCCAGCTGAAGGAGCTGGCTTGCAAAGTGGCTGGAGACCACTGTGAGTAAGGAGGCGCCGCGTTCCAGAGCCCCACCAAGCACTTCGCTAGACAGCCAGGCTGCGGACCCCAGGGGGGCCCAGCAGATTGCCAGCTCCTGCCTCACACTCACTCCTGGGTGCTGGCCCCACTGGTTTAACTGTTTTCTGTGATTTTGCCTGGTTTTGAAGTCTTGCCAGTTAAATGCAACCTCACTGGAGGGTACCGGATGGCAGCGAAGACACACGGTTCCCGGGCGCAGGGCTGCTCCCTGTGTTTGTGCTCAGGTGCTCCCTGCAGCCTGCATCTGAAGGCCCAGTCTCCTCTCTCTCTGGCCCTGGGAGCCACACTCGGTAGAGCTCAAAGCTGCCCCTCCTCTGGTTCCCCCCCCCCCTGCATCTTTCACTTCACAAAGCCCTGAGAAGTGTTTGTTGGGCAAGAGTAACTAGGAGAAACCAGGTCCCTGCAGGCAGTGCTAAGAAGCACACCAGAGTGGCCGATCCGATGTGCAGATGGACCGAGGTCCCAGGTCCCAGGTCCCTTACCTCCAGTAACTTCCTCTCATCCCGATAAACGTCCTGGGCCAGGGAGACTGCATGGAGGTTGACCTGCAGGATAGCACCTCCCAACAGGGTGGGGTGAGTTCCGAACTCCCAGCATTCCCGGAAGATCCCAGCGCTCGAAGACTTGAAGAAGAAGGTAAAGGTTTTCGTTTCTCCAGGGAGAAGCACACCTGAGAGGGACAGAGACACAGGTTTTCACCAAGGAGAAGCTCATGAAGCCCACGCGGGCGTGTCTAAAACTAACGGAGCCCTAAGCCTAACCGGTACTTGTGACTGAGCTCCAGGCAGGGTGACCAACCGTCCCCTGCTTTGCCCAGGACTAAGGGGTTTCCTGAGATGTGGGACTTTCGGTGCTAAAAGGGGGAGAGTCCCCGGCAAACGGGCCGGCTAGCCTCAGACCTTGTGCATATAGGTAGCTGAACCTCTAGAATGCTTCTGCTCCCTGGTGGCTCACCCCCTGCCCCCAACAAACAGGAGCAGTTAGGAGATGACACACGTCACAGAAGAAATGGAAGGGAGGAGGCCGGGGAGAGGGGCTTCAACTTGAAGAGCTCGGTGCTAGCTAGGCGGCAGCTTCTCGCGCCGCCAGGTGAGCAGGGCTGCGTCTCCTGGGTACCTTCCCGATTACTGAAGTAGAAGTGCTGCATCCTGTTTTTCTTCAGGTCCTGGAAACAGTCCGGCTGGGACTGTCGCCGCCAGTCGTACCAGATGGCCACTGTGCCGTTGTTGGCCACCGTCAGTTCTGAGGACACTTTCTGCCCCTCCAGGGTTTCGAAGGTCAGGCTAACGGCAATTCCAACATGCCTCTGGGGAAGGAGGGGGGATGAGGAATGTCTCTGAGGGAGGGCCCGGCCTCGGGTGACGGGCTCATCCCAGCGTTCCAGGGACTTTCCTGGGTTTGGCACAGCAGTCCCTCCAGGGCCTGGCCACTCTCAGAGTGGCGTCATACCCTAGTAGTGGCTGGCCCTGAGGTGCCAACAACAGTAAGAAGAGAAGACAATACAGATTTTATATCTGATGCACCTTAGCGTCAGAATAGCCTAGAACATTCTTAAAGCCACAGCAGTCAGAGCAGTTTTGCTTGTTTATATGCGTGGGGGCGAGGTACAAGCTGGGTGGCTTGTGACACTCTTTTCAGCCTTGTCATTTTATTCTGGCTCAAGGTAGCCGGTGCTGTTACCGTTTTCAGACATGCTGAATGCACGACCAGATAAAAACGCAAGTGGGAGCCTGCAGGCTCTCTGTGACTGCCAGTCACCTTGAGACCGTACCCGAGGGAGGCCCATCCAGCAGATGGGTGAGGGTACAGGCAGGCCTACCTTGTCCTGTGTGTTACTGCCTCTGATCCAGCAGGCTGGCTTCCCACAGAACAGCAGAGAAGGGCCAAGAACAGGCATGGGGACCACTTCAGGATAACGGGTCAATACGTCTCTGCAAGAAAAACCAATGACGCATCTTCCCTGAAGTTGCCATAGTCTTGCCACACAGAGCCCATGGAAATGGCTGCCAGCAAGTCTGGAGAGGTGCCCTGCCCTGGCCTCCAGTGGAGTATCATCAGCGCCACTGGACCTCAGCCTTGTCCTGCCTGATTCCCATAGGTGGGAGGTTCTTGGACACACAGAGACCCTTCTTGCTGAGGCGCTGAGTGTGCACAGCCCTAGGAGAGTCTGGAGCAGACCCACCTACCAGCCAAAGAATGTCTGGGAAATCCCCATTAGGAGCTGGTGGCTGGGGGGGAGCAGATGGCCGCAGGAAGGGGTGGCAGTCACTTTGAGAGGCTGGGATGGAGGCACTCTGATTTCGGGGAGGGAAGCCCACCCTCTAACACTGTTGGCGCTGGGGCCCAGGCCCCACTCACATGTTCACTGTGTCTTCAGAGGAACTTCTCTGGCTCCTTTCAAACACTGTAAAGTCTTCTGCTGTAACTGCTGAGAAAGGCTGCCCTCTGCCCACCACCTCCAGGCCATCAATATCCTCAGAGAGACCAAGAAAGGGAAGATTGGCTGGCCAAAGACAGGTGCCACCCGAGGGGCCTCAGACCGGGCACGGAGGCATCACCAACCTGCTGGGTGAAGTCCAGCTCTGCCATGATGCTCTGCAGCTCCTGGCGGCGGTGGGTCAGAAACAGACTCCGGTCCCAGGTGTGGCGGTACGGAGCATCCTTCCGGGCCAGCAGTCCTACCGCAGGGCCCAAGGACCCTCAGTGCAGGCTGCTGCCATGCCCCCCTCCCCTCACTCTCGAGGGGCTCTGAACACCCCCATCCCGGCACCATGTCTGGACAAGGGGAAAAGACAGCTTCCCTGTGCTGCTGGGCTCCAGGCCTCCTGTCCAATACCTCCTGCTTCAGCAATCCTACGCAGGACGGCTGGGAAATTAGCTTTCAAACCTTCCACTCTTTGGGTGATAATAAAGACAACAGCAGCTACCTTCTATTGGGGCTTCAACAAGGGGCCAGAACCTCTTAATACACATCATGCTTCATTTACCTCTCTCACGGCCCCTTCAGTATTTTACAGATGTCGACACTGAGGCCCAGAGCTCAAACAACTTGCTCTGAACCCAGGCAGCCTGGCAGCCTTTAAAGCAGTGCTATCCAACAGAAATAGCATGCACCCCACACACACAAGGCACATAATGTAAAATGCTCTAGGTGTTTTAAAGGGGCAAAAAGAAACGGCAGAGCCCTGGCTGGCGTAGCTCAGTGGATGGAGCGCGGGCTTGTAAACCAGGTGGTTGCTGGTTTGATTCCCAGTCAGGGCACATACCTGGGTTGCAAGCCAGGTCCCCATTTGGGAGAATGTATAGGGCAACCACGCACTAATGTTTCTCTCCTGCTCTTTCTCCTTCCCTTCCCCTCTCTCTAAAAGTAGATAAATAAAACGTTAAAGAAAACAATGGCTGGAATTAATTTTTAGTAATAGTTTAACCCAATGTATGAAAAATACCATTTCAACATGTAAACAATACACAAATTATTGATAAGATACATTTTGCATACGAACCAGTGCGTAGCTTACACTTACAGCACCTCTCCGTTCAGACATAGTCCGGGTGCTCACCCACCATGGTGCATCCGAGAGACTCCGCTCCCACTCGCTTCGGCCACCTGTTCTATCTACCACTGTCTTCCTGGAAAGGGAACTGGATCTCCATAGGGTGATGGGACTCGATTCCTGCATGGTCTCAGACCAGGGCCACGCTGTCCCCCCTCCTAGGCTGGTCACCCACTGCCCTGCTCCTCACCCATCTCCTTCTGGATGGAGTGCGGCTTCCTGATGTGAGTGATTGGCTCCAGGAGACCACGCTGAGATTTCGTCTTTGTCATCAGCAGACCGGTGACTTCATCTCCAAGGTATTCCAGTCGACTCCAGAACCCACTGGTCTCCTCAGAGCACTGGCAAGGCAGGGCAGACAAGTCAGACCGTGGGGACCCCTTGGAGAGAGGCTGGTGTGCAGGCCTGGGAGACATGAGCGTGGCAGACTACAGATGCCCGCTCTCAGGACTCACCGCAGCGTGGAGGGCAGGAGAGAAGCGTGCACTTCCTTATGCTCAGGATGCCCTCTCTCAGCCTTTACCTGGCCCCAGACAGTGCGGGTGGCACTGACATACCAGACACAACAGGCCCTGGTTGTCCAAAAGCTGGAGTTTCAGCTTTTAAGAGAGAACACTAAGACTATTCTAGTAACTCAATACCTATGCTATCTTTCTCAATTCACACCAGTGCCACCGCAGTACGAATTACTTAACTAGCCAGTCCCCGAACACCCAATAATAGGACCAATAATATAATTTCGTAAAGGCCTTTGAGGTGGCAACAGACAGATTTGTTTTTTCCCCGGCTGTGCAAACCAGAGCAGCCGTGCCTTTGTCTGTCCAGACCTCCTCCTCACAGCGCCCTCGGGGACACTGCCCTCACCTTCCCGTCGTGCTGCGTTGGAAGGACCCGGTCGATGAGCTCCCGTTCCTCCTGGATCTGTCTGTAGGTCTCGCCTATGTGCATCAGCAGCTCGCCAACAGGCTTCTTCAGGCGTTCTAGAGTGAGAGCCAGGAATGCGGCCCCTCCACCAAATCAGAACCACCTGGCCCGGTGCTCAGCACCGCTCAGCCCCATCGCTGGGCGAGGAACACTGGGGAGCGAGTGACTGGCCTGAAGCCATCTCTGGACAGGTGGAGGGAGAGAACGCGCAGCAGGGGGGCCTGGGGGCGGGAGAGGCCAGGTGGGAGCCCGGCCACGCTGCTCACCGCTGAGGGCCTCCTGCTGCCTCTTCCACAGGGCCAGGTTGCGCTGCCAGTTTCTCATGAAGTTGTGCTGAGGGGCTGGGGCCCAGAGGGGTGCCTTCTCTTCTTTGGGGGCTTTCTTCTTTGGCTCTTCTGTGGCTGAGATGAGGGTCACCGAGGAGGGCGGGGTGTATATCAGCTCAGCCAGCTGAAAGTACAATGTCAGAGTGTGGGGGGTGGTGAGAGACGCTAAACTGGGGCTGGGATTCTCTAGGCCAAAACCCCCACTGTCCTCCCACTCTGCCAAGGGTCCCTCCTCTTCAAGACCCTAAGGTTGTGAGTGACAGAAAACAAATCACAGAACCGGGGGCTTGGAAACCTCTGTCAGTCCCCTCTCCCCCAGAATGGGGACCTCAGCTCTAAGATTGTGCTCAAAATCTTTTCCTGCATCTATTTTACAATTGAAGTTAATTGATGCCTTCACCTGCAGAGTGACTGAGCCATTTTTATACGACCCCAGGCCTCTTAGCTCCCGAGTAATGAGATTTTTTTGCCTGGAACCAGGGAAGTGAAGGAACTGAGACAAAGAGCAGCAGTGCATGATGGGAAAGTCAGAGAGACAGACTTTTCATGCGGCCCAGGGAGCTCCGGGCTTCCTCCAGCATGTGGACTGAGGAGGGGAGCAGCCAGTCCTTGCAGAAGAGAAAAGAAGGCTGTTAGGGAGCATGGGCCTGGAGCCCTGATGCCTTCCTGGGTTCAGTCTAACTGAGCCAGACACACTATTGCCTTTGAGTTCCTTGAGGCACCTCTGTATCCTTGAAGTGACTTCTTGACTTCAGCTGAAACTAGCTTAAGCTGGCTTCACTATTTCTGGGGGAGGGTCACTTATCACTTCAGACTCCGGGGCCCAGAAACTGGACTGTCTTTTTAACCCCAGGCCTGCGCGACTCCACCAGGTGTGAGATGGAAATGACTTCAGTGACATCTCTTGTGCAGGCGGCTCTGCGCACACGAACCTGGGTGTTCCCTTGGGCAACTGCAATTCTCCGAAAGTCCTGGAGACTCCCCAAGATGTGGTGGGGCAGGATCTGGTCACAGCTGTAGAGACTGTCATCTGGGCCTGGAGGGCGGGGAATAGGAGGGGAAAGACAAGTGGTAGCTAGCAGATGTAAAGAATTCAAGGAGGCTGCTCTCTAAAGGAGAGAGACCATGCTTTCCTTCCAGGCTGGCCCATGGATGCAGACACCAGCGGTGCCAGGGCTGAGGCCGGCCATACCAGAGTAGTCCAGGGGCTTTGTGGCTGTATCTGTGGTAGCAGGATGTGCTACTAAGTGGCAGACCTTCCTCCTAGGATCCTTGGGTTTGAGTTTACGGATGATAAATTTCTGGGGAATGACAGATTTATCTCTTGTTTCGATAAAGCGAGGAATGTGTTGCTAAAAAAAAAACACAGGAGAATGCCACTTGAGATCTGGAGGAGGGACACCACCACCCTGTCCCAGTTCTTCGTGGAATTCCTGAAAGCTGACAAATCTGTTTCTCCAGCTTTGTCCATATGTTCTGTCGAGGAAATGCCCGTGCAACAGACAGAAGACGTATTAATGTCCTGGAGGAGCAAGAATTACATTTTATGCCTCCAGACAAGTCAGGTGAGAAGTGGCTGACTCTTCCAGGTCAAACCTGGGGTTAGGGATTAGTAGCTTTATCCACACCTGTAACTTTGCTTCTTAAACTCATTTTCCCTTCTGTGAAAGGGGACAAATGGCTCTTGCCTCCATGGGGAGCAAGATGCCTGATCATCTCCTTCCCCTGCAGGGAAGCAGCAGTGATGGTGGGCACGGTCAACGTTCTAGACCACACAGGCTGCCCAGAAAGGCTCCTGCAGGAATCCCTGGACTCCATCCTTACCTTCTTCAAGTCATCCTCCTTAATGGCTAAGGCAAGAATGTCATCTCCTTGCAGGATATTGCTGACAGGCTCAGGTTCTTCCTGAATGGGGGGCGTGAGCTGTTCAGGCACCTTTGCCCGCTTCTTCTCTGAAGAGAAGCAGAAGGTTACAAATGCTTAGAAACAGACCTAGATTCCACTCCATGGTTAGGGGGCCAGATCTGGCTGGCTGGGTGGACAGCAGAAGCTGCCTGGGCGACCTGGTCAGCACTCTGCTGGGGCAATGGGAGTTCTTTCTTCAGGGTCCCCCTGCCTATTGCCCTGGGCCTGCCACAGAGACTGAGGCTTCTGTAGCCAAAATTGAGATAGAATGATGTTCCTTTCCGGGCTGTGCTGCTTATAAGCTGGACAACGCTGGATGTCTCACTGAACCTCTCTTGGCTTCCGTCTTCCATTTTTTAAAAAGAGGAAGCTGGACTAAACCAGTGGTTCCCAAATATTAGTCAAATGTCTGCCTCAGAATATTCTGGGGAGTTTCACAAATACAGCTTCCTGGCTCCTGCCTGGAGCCAGGGCCTGGGGGGCTGTATATTTTTAAAAACTCCCTAGGTGGTTCTGATGCAAAGGGGCTTGAAACAACTGGGGAAGATGCTTTCTCAGCCTCCTCCGCTGCTGGTACCAATCCATTCTCCTGGGTGGAGGCATCTGGTGCCTTAAGACACTGGTTAAAATATCGATGCTCCGGGGGCAAACAGAACATTCATGGCTGACCATCTCTTTCATGCTCTTTCATTTAATAAATACTATTTAAGTATTTTCTATGTGCCAGGCACCACGCTACGGTCTGGGGAATATAAGGCAGAGATTCAGGCTTCAAAGAGCACATACCCACGGAGAGAAGGATGTCAGGCTGAAGTATGGGAGCAGTCAGGGGTCCCAGCCTAATTTTGGGGGGCAGTCAGGGAGGGCTTCCTAAGAAGGTGATGTTTAAACTGAGAGCTGAAAATGAAGAGAACATAGACAAGGGGAAGGATTTGGGGGACAGGCATTCTAAAGAGACTAACATAAAGAGGCCTAGAAAGAAAAAAAGAGGCCTAGAGGCGAGAGAGAATAGAGCACACCCCTGGAACTCAAAGCCTGTGTTTCTAAAATAGCTGGAGTGTAGCGAGGTGGGAGGTAGGAAGCTATGCCTGTAGAGGGAACAGGAGCTGCATCACCAAGAGTTTAGTGAGCCATGGGAAGGACTTCAGTCTTTGGGAAGGGACCAGGGGGCACAAGACTGAGGACAAGAATCGAGGCTTCTACCACAGTAATGCTGCAGCCAATGACAACAGTGGCTCATGGGATGGGAGAAACGTGGAGAGATCTAAGCTGGTCTCTCTCACGCCCCATGGGGGGCATGGCAATGAGAACTCATGCAGCAGAAGCGAGTTCTTCTCCAATGAGGACACGCTCCCTGCCTTCCTTCCACAGAGCTGGGTTAACAGTTTCAAATGCATCTCATTTCTTTGGCTGGTATCCTCCTGTCTGCCACCCTCTGGCTTAGAACGGTTTGATGTAAGGCGCTACAGAAAATAATCAAAAGAAAACCCGAGTCCTGCCTGACTCCTGGGACTTTGAAACAGAACTTGGTTTGGTCCACGGCTTCTGACAGGACTCTGCTTTTTCAGAAGCAATATGACTAAAACATCAAAGCCGGCGCTTGGGTTATGAAAGTCAAACTCTTTTTTTAGGAAATGCCCACATAATTGGTGGCAAGGCAAAACAAAACAAAACAAAACCCAAAACAAAACAAACCCCAAGCCAGAATCATTCCAAACATAACTCTAAATTCTGCCTGTGGGCCAGTGTTCAGTCCTCAGCCACGGGGTCAGCGGGAGGGAACTTGGCAGCACCACCAGCTCAACCGCGTGGCTCTGGTCCCGCCCGCCACCACGTGTGCACGTGCAGCCTTAGGTATCTTTTTAATTATTTCTACTTCCCCTCTCCCTGCTACAGTCACCAAAGCGGGTAGCAGCCCAAGAGAGAATTGGTACCAACTGAAGGTCTACTTTTATACATATTTTTGTATTATTTCTATTTTCCAGGACATCTGCTTCCTCTGTCCATCCCTCTGGTTGGTTCTGCATCTTCCCAAGGGATTGCACGTCTCCGGCTCTGTGCTTTGGACTGCTGGGTGTATCACTGTCGTGTTTGAATTGATAAAACTTCACCGTTGCTAGAGACTCCCAAAGCAGTCAGGGAAACTCTGGTCTGGGGGTTTTCTGAGAAGGTTATCTTAATATGCAGTTAGGGAATGGTGTGTTTTAGTTAATAAAATATGCAACATCACACATACATTTTAAACTCCAATTCACCCTGGAGAATATTTACCAAGCACCTTTCAGATGCTATAAACTATAGAGAAGATGATATAAAAGGTTAAAATGTGGCTCCTTCTGCCAAGGAACTGAAAATGCACCAGGCACCAACACACACCACTCATAACACAAGGGCCTAAAATTAGCGGCACAGATAACAGGCTTGGTGATATATCAAAGCAAGAACAGATGGATGTGGACCATACAGCTCAGGGCTCTAACCAGAGGTTCAGAAGAGCAACCACAGGACTGGGGTGGTGGGGGGGAGGGCGCGGCTAAGGTACGTCCTGAAGGGCAGGCAGGCTTTGCACAGAGGGAACAGCAGACAGAGGTGTTTTGGGGGGGGGGGGTCACAGTTGGAGCAAAGGTGGAGGTGGGGCTGAGTATGGCGTTTGTGAGGCATGGGGCCACAGGAGGCTCACTGGGGAGGTGGGGGTGATGTTGGAGATGAGAGGAACACCAGGGCTTTGTAAAGCAAAGCTGAAGCCTCCGCTCCTCCTCGATTGGCAGGAGGGAGCTTTGATCCAGGAGAATGAAATGAAAGCAGCATCTCAAAGTGATTCATCAGGGGAGGGTGAACAGGTGGACTAGATGGGCAGAGGCAAGTTGAGGAGGCCAGGGAGGAAGAGCAGTCCCACAGAGGTCACTTTAGGACCTGGGGGAAGACTCGGAAGGGTCAAAGTGTGTCTCACCACTGAAAGTGCCAGAGGCCCAGCTATTTCCTTCTCTCTGGTCTGGAAACCCAAGCAGAGTGGGGCTCCTGGTGAGTCACCCAGCTGGCATTCCTCCCCTGATCCTGACACCAGCTCCCCGCGCTGGGGGGGGGGGTGCAGTGGCACTTCTGCTGGAGTTAGTAGATAGACAGCTACGAGCAAGGCGTTAGACTTGGGGCAGGGAGGGAGCAGGTGGGGGAGAGGGAGACACGGAGAGTCTCTCTGGACTCTCTTTCTCTGCTTCTTGTTTTATCAAAATGTTACTCTTTTTGTGTTGATTAAAATCTTCAGGAAATTCTGACCTCAGGGTTGCTCTGGGGGAACCCAGGGAGGGACCGTCTCTACCAGGGCTGAGCTTTACTTGACGAGGGCGGGGGATCTGGAACTGCTGGGAGACTGCCCTGTTTCTTAGCAACAAGACCTGAGATTCAAAAGGGCTGGAACCTCTAAACAGGTTTATAGTCATAACATTTGCTTGCCTTTTTGTTTATAACTCAGAGACCTTGGAGAAACATTGCTCCAAATTATAAGATTACATTCGTTGATTAGCTGTATCATGGGGGAGGGAGTGTTAGAGGCTTCCCCTGAGATGTTTTGAGGAACTAAACACTTGGGTTTTTTCCCTCCTCACCATGGTGCACGTTATTTACTCAAGGGTTATTTAATAAACTCAGTGTCTCCTTATTAAAATATGCAGCCCTGGCTGGGTAGCTCATTTGGTCAGAGGTTCCACTGGATCCGCACACACAAAAAGCAACCAATGAATGCATAAATAAGTGGAAAACAAGTCAATGTTCCTTTCTCTCTCTCTCTCTCAAATCCGTAAATTTAAAAAATTAAAAATAAATAAATATTCAGCAGCAAATCTTTCCTTGATTTGTTCAAACCTGATTAGATCTCCAGAAACGAGGTCAGCAGTGGCCAGGAAAGCCCTTGGCTGCCCTTGTAGAAGGAGGCCAGCTATTCTTCCTTATTCCCTCTTAAATGTTAAAACTTGTATCCTGCAGCCTAAGTCGCACTCTCCCAGTACGCAGAAGCACTAAAGACAGCCATGCTGAAAAGTGGCTAAGCTCCCATTAGCTGCACTCGGCCTGTGCTCTCTCTTCACACGGCGCTTTCACAGAGACTCTGCGGCTGCATCTCCCCAGGGCCTGCCAGGGCACAGGCAGCCCTTTCACGGGCTGACCCCTGACCACTGCGCAGGCCCCTCTGGCTCCCTTCCCTCTCCTCCGCACTCACGACCTCTGCCCTGGCCACCAAGGTCACATGTGTCCACAGTCCCGTGCCTCAGCTCATGCTGCTCCCTAGGCCTGGAGAAGTCAACTGCTCCTTTTTGTGGTTGTTGTTGAACACAGATGACAGTTTCAGGAAAGCTTCCCTCCTAAAGCTACCATGCAAGGCCCAGGTCAGGTGCCCTGAGCCTCCTTAATGCCACCAGGTACCTATATCACAGCATTTATGTTGTCTGGTCACTCCTCCAGGAGTGTGCTAGACTGAATTTCTTGAGGGCTCTGGGGTTGATACCAATGCGAATGTTGCCCAGCAGAGCGCTCACACACATCAGGCCCTCAATAAACGAAAACAGCAAAAAAAAAAAAAAAAAAAAAAGATGGGAGGGAGGGGGAGCTGCAAATGGGAATGTGTCCATGGGGTCAGTCTGCTGTCAGGCACCCTGGGGCTTTCCCACCTGCAACCACAAGGTAGCTGCAGAGGCCAGGAAGCTGTCATGTCTAGTGACTGCCACCAGGTTAAACAAGCAGGACAGGTGTCACCTAGCTGGAAAGGGCATGTAGTGGGAAAAGGCAGTCAGAAACAGAACTAGCCAAGTTAGCATTTCTTGGGTTTTTTCTAGCAGAACTCTTAGGTGACACCCCCAAAGAATCCCACCAAGGTTGTTGGTTTCACCGCCTGAGCATGTTGCTTGTATTATTTCCTGAACTTCCTTCCCCAAGGACCCCACGTCTTGGCCCTTCTCGAACTCTTTCCTGGCTCTTCCCCCACACCCCCATTCCCAACAGAGACCCTCCTTTTTGCCTTCTATCTTAAGATGTGGTTCCAGGTACTAGTCTCCTATGCCCTCCTGCCCAAGGCCATCTCCCCAGCAATTGATCCCTGAGGCCTCAGTCCGTTCCCCACTTCCTGTGTCCCCATCCTCAAGGCTCCAGTGTCCTGTGCCCCTCCCTTATTGGATTCTCCTCCTCGTTCACCATCTCTTAGGTTATGGAGTACGCCTTGCCCGCTACCTCATTCCCCGGTGACATTTACCTCCCTCCTGGTGTCACCCCCATCTTTTAGGCCTCCTGTCGTGAATCCCATCCAAGACCCCCTGCCCCTGCAGGGTTCTCCTGCGGCTCCCGAGGCAGCCAGAGCCAACCTTTGAAGTTTTCTGCGGCCTCCAAGAATCTGCTTGTAAGTATTCTGAGGCGGGATTCCCTCTTTAGAGGCTTCATAGTGTTGCCGGGTCTTAAACGTGGCCACACTCCGCGGGAACCCGAGAAAACTTGGCCTTGCGGCACCCCCCCGCGACCCCGTGACCCCGCCGGCGCCCAGTAGCGGCAGCCGCTGCGTCCATAGCAACCAGCGCCCCGCGCGGGGGCGCGCACCCACCGAACAGCCTGGGCGGAGACTGCTTGGAAGTAACCTTTTTCATCGGGTCGCTCTCTCGCGCCCGCCAAGGGCGAGCAGCTCCTTCCGAGCGCGGACCCTGAGAACACCTCGGGGCCCAAACGTGACGTCACAGGGAGCGCAGGCCAGCGCCGTGACGTCACCAGCCAGGTGGGGCGGAGTGGGCGAGGCCCTCGGTTGCTGGGATAGGTGCGGGTAGGGGCGGTGTGACCCACCTCGCCCCTCTAGGCACTAAGCGAGGGGGCGTGGTGGCTGCGGGCCGCATCCGGGACTGCCCCGACTCCCGCCTTCCCTCTGCCCTTCGGCCCTCCGGCACAACCGCCATGGGATCTTTCCTTTCTCCCGTGCTGAAAACCCATGGAGGGCTCCCCTTCGATTTCGGTTTTTGCGGCCCCTGCCTGTACCCTAGTTGCGCCTGGTGACCTCCCCTGCCCACTCTCGCTGCAGCCCTTTGGCCTTCCATCACTTCCCAAAGCAGCCAAATTCCTCTCATCTCAGCGGTGCGACCTTCCTTCTCACACTGTTGGTTTCAGCCCTTGACCCCCAATTTAAAACAGCCCCTCTGTTATCTCAATTTTATAAATGCTCCCAGTTCATTTTTTTCCCAGAGCCTTAACGCATTCTGGAATTATTGTGTTTTTGTGGTTGCCTGTTGTCAAGCTTGTTGTGAGAATGTAAGCTCTGTAGGTGCAGGGAAGCCCGTCCCATATCTCACCCCAACCCACAGTTTAACCCATAGTAGTCGCCTTGACTGTAGAGCCAGAGACAGCTGGGTTCCGGTCCCAGCTCTGCCTGCTTGCCAGCTCTGTGTTCTTGGGCCAGTCCCTTGACCTCTCTGAGCCAGTTTTCTCACTTACAGAGTGGAGGTCATAGTGGCCTCCTGCTCAGGGCCACATAAAGATTAACAGAGAGTTTGTGTTTAAACCCCACAAACACTCATGAAACACTAACCTGTGTGCTCAGCTTTGAAAGGGCCTTTCACCTTTGGGAAGTTACACAGCCGCTGGGAGGATTCAGTACTCCAGTGCTTTTCATGGCATATCGCATTTCATTGCATATCACATTTTGTTTATCCATTCATCCGCGCATTTGATTTTGCACATGATTTTGCATTCAGTTCCGGGGATTCTCTGAAGTTCATTCGTGTGTTCCCCCGGTCAGTGTGCCTAAGACACAGAGCTGGGTTGTCTGGGTTTTTAACTCTGATGTATGTGCTCAGAGGCTAGTGATTAATCACAACTTGGACAAGGCAGAATGGATATTAGGGGGGCCTTCTTAGAGGAGGAGCATTTGAGGCAGACCACTGAAGACAAGAGTTCAACAGGCAGGTCAGGCAGCAGGCACTCCACGCGAGGACATGACAGTAACCAAGGCTGGAGGGGAGGGGAATAAAACACAAGTTCAAGTTTGGGGAACAGCTTCCTTTACCCACCATAGCGTTTGGTGTCTCCTCCCAGCTCAACAACAACGAGCCCGGGGAGGAGGAGGTGGCAGGGTAGGCAGAGGACACCGCATCAATTATTGCTTCGTGTCTCTGTTTATTTCCACCCAGCCAGGTGCCAAACATGTCCTGGGCTCCTCTTTGCAGAGGTTAATACGGCCTCCTTAAATAGGGTGTTGCCTGCACGGGCTGCATCATCCCCTTCCAGGGACAGACACCCTCCGAAGCCCAAGGCTGGGCTTTTTCTCAAGCCCCTCACAGCCAGCTCACCCCTTCACATCTGGCTCCCTCCTCCAGTTCATTTTGTCACTTCCGTCTCACCTCCACTGGCACACCTGGTCCTCTGCCCTATCGTGTGCATTCCACCCCCTACATCTGACCCCCACACACACACCTGACTCACTCTTCACAATTGGTTCATTCCCCTCAATCTAGCCATTGTGTCTCTTAAACAACCCATCACACCATTACCCTCCTTACTAGACCCTTGCTCAACTAACACGGAACAGGAATCTTCCATTCTTGTTGGCCCTGGAGTCAGGCTGCTCCTGGACACTGTTCCCAGATGGCCTGCCTTCAGCCTCGGGGATGGTGCACAGACTCTGAGTGCCTCCCGGGCTCCAGCTGCTCTTATTCCCCCTTCTGGAGGCTGCACAGAGCAGGGGTTAGGAGCAAGGGGGACATTGGTGCAAAATGTGGATTTGCATCTCAGTACTGCTCCTCCCTAGGACATCGGCCTCCTCTTAGAGTGGGGACGGTGCACAAAAGTCCCCACTCACAGAGCTGCCATCACCCTCTGTCTGTCTCACCCTGTTTTGCTATGCCCAGAACTCTTACCCCATACTTCTGTGTGATCTGTCTTCTGCCACTAAAGCACAAGGTCCGGGACAGCAGGGGCCTTGCCTGTCAGACTCACGGCTACATCCCAGTTCCTGGAATAGTGTCAGGCACATGCAGACCATCGATGATGGATGGGATGGAGGGAAGCCTGGAGGAGTGTCGGCAGACTCAAGCAGCTGCCTTCCCATATCTGGGGTGCGGGGGGAGAGCCTGGTTCCCTTTGTGCAGCACCCAAGGGCAAAACTGTGAACTACTTGGGAGGTTTGCTACAAGACTTTTCCAAGAATCAGAGTACCCTCCTCTTACAGGAGTTCCAGCACAGGCTCCGGGCCCACCTGCCTGGGCTGCTGTTGAGATGACGCTGAGATGGGTGGACACCAAGTTCCGGGGCTCTGTGCCGAGGCTCTCCACGAAAAGGAAGGCTCTCTGTCCCTTCTGTCCCTGGTTGGGAGAGGGCTGCTTGCTGAGGGCAGAATCAGGGCCGAGGGAGCTAGTTCACCTTGGAGGCTTCTTCCTCTAGATTGTAGGGGTGCCTGAGGAATTGCCCCAATTCTACCATGGCAAACACATGGCCTGGAACTAGGGGTGGCAGGCATGATGTGGGAAGATGCTGAATGAAAAGCCTGGGCCCTAGTCTCTATCTTCCATCTGACCCAGGCACTGTGCCCTCATCCCACACGCCTGCCAGTCTCATCTACTTCCCTTAACAGAGTGGCCTCAATACCACCACCTTCATCGACCTCCCAGGATCAATGCAAGAAGTGAAAAAGGTTGTGTAGTACTCTGAAAACTGTACAGATGAAAAGGGGTTAGAGTTAAAGTCCAGAACACTCAAAGCCACTAGATAATTTCTCCCTTAGTGCAGAAGGCAGAATAATGGCTCTCTAAAGGTATTCACATCCCCATCGCCAGAAGCCAGGAGTTTGTTACTTTACAAAGGGCAAAAAAGGACGCCGCAGATGTGACTAAGGATTCTGACATGGGGAGATTGTCCTGGATTATCCAGATGGGCCCAGCGTAATCACAAGGGTCCTTTTGAGAGGGAGGCGGGAGTATGGGAGTCAGAGAAGAACAGGAAATGATGGAAGCAGAGGTCACAGTGACAGGGCCAGGGGCCCAGGGAGGCCACGGCCTTTAGAAGCTGGAAAAGGCAAGGAAAAGGTTTTTTCGCAGGGCCCACAGGAGTGCAGCTCTGCCGACGTCTTGACATCTGTCATGTCAGGCTTCCCGCCTCCAGGACTGTCAGATGATGAAATCCTGTTGTTTTCAGGCACTAAGATTGTGTGACTGTGTTACGGTACCAATAGGAAATTAATACAGATGGGTATATAAACACCATTTCAAACCTGATTCGCCATCTTTCTTTTTTAGTATTCCTCCTCAGCTGATGGAATCATTTGCCCTTTCCAGGGTCGCTCAGGCCTCCCTCGTTATCATGAAGTAGATCGCTGCTTATCTGCCGTGAGTTCGATTTTAGCAGAGCGCACCAAACTTGACACACCCAAGTTCAGATCCCAGCTCGCTAATTTTCTAGCTGGGTGACCTTAGACTAAATCTTACCGCCTCACTGAGTCAGTCTGTTCTATGGGAAAAATGGGGAGTTGTGAGAATTAAATACGGTACTACTCAGAAACCCATTCCCAGAAATGAAGGATGGTGTCCAGGGTTGCCAGATAAAATGGAGAATGACCAGTTAAATTTGAATTTCAAATAAAACGAATAATTTATTTTTAGTTTGGGTATATCCCGTTTGATATTTGGGACTTATTCATAGTTTTATTTGAAATTCAAATGTAACTGGGGATTTATATTTTTATTTGCTAAATCTAGCAACCTTAGTCTTGTTCCAGGCCAAATAGCTTGTAAGCAAAAAAAACCAAAAACCTAAGCATCAATCTCAGATCTTTAAACCCCAAGGTCAGCGAGCATCCTGCTCCATCACAGGCGTGACCTTGAGATTAGCTGAGTCACAGGGCAGCCCTGGGCTCACAACCCAATTGCAGCTTCAAAAACAAATTCGATTTGAGCTTCAAAAACCCGCTTCATACCTTAAAAAGATCTAAAGTAATCATGAAAATAAAATGTAAAAACAACACACAAACGAATGCTTATGTCACATATGTATCACATATGTAGACACACATGTGTATGAAGCCTATAAAATCAAAACTGAGTATGAAAATAAATGAAAAAACTACATGCAAAGAAATACTTGAACATATATTATGTGAATTCAATCTCTAAAAGCAATGTACCTTTATTTACTTACATTTTTATCGATTTTTAGAGAGAGAGAGAAAGAGAGAAGACATCGATTTGTTGTTCCAGTGGTTTATGAATCCGTTGGTTGGTTCGTGGACGTGCCCTGACTGGGGATCAAACCCACAAGCTTGTCACGCCGGGATGACACTCCAGCCAACTGAGGTGCCGGGCCGGGGCCAGCAGTGTGCCTTTAAATTTTCTTTCTTCTGCCTGATCGGGACCAACACATGAGTCTGGTGGACTTTAAGTGACAACTAACTTTACTGTGTGCTTATCATTGACCGGGTAGCCTTCTAAGCACTTTACATGTACTGACTTTTTAAAAATAGAGATATAATTCACGTAACATAAAATTGACCACTTAAGTGTACAGTTCAGTGGGTTTTTTTGCTATATTCACAAGGTGGTACCACCACCCCAAAAAGAAACCTTGTACTCATTAGCAGCCGCTCCCCACGCCCCTCTTTCCCCTGCCCCTGGCACACTGTGATCTGCTCCCCGTCTCTGTGGATCTGCCTGTTCTGGACATTCCGTATGTATGAAGT